CGCCAACATTTGACAAATTAAATGAAATTAAATAAGATCGATGAAGTTTGAAACAGTAAGAATCCACTTTTTAAGTAACTTTTTGGTTCGTTGTCATCCAGAAATTTTGCTACCAAGACAACTTGACGTAACGACTTCTTCTCTCTGTTGTTTACATTAAATATATCTGAAGCTCCTACTGTGACATTTCAGGATATTCCTACCAGCTGGGATTTGCATTTGATGAAAGAACTGTAAAGCGTATGCATATCTTTAAATACCTGAACCAAAATGATATGCCGCGCGCTTACCAAAGTCCCCTTGAAATGTCAATGTTGGGAGGTTTAAGAAAGTCTTCGTAAACAGATCTCTATTTGATAAATAAAAGGTTGTAATATAGTATTTTTCTAGTCTTAGGGCTTGTTTACATGGAGGTGGGGGACTCCAGGTAGGAGAGGTAACCCACCTCTCCATATAATCTCTTATTTTTAAATTGATCACGTTTACATGATAGGTGGGGTGACCATTTAAGAGATTGAATGGACAGGCGGGTTACCCCACCAAAGCGGGTTACTTCACCATCCTGGGGTCCCCCACCTCCATGTAAACAGGCCCTTAGACAGTTTTTACTTCGAATGTTGTAACTTTGAAAGCTTTATAATCTCGGTTTACCACTATTAATTCGATGAAGGCAACTCACGGCAGGGGGGGGTACCGCTTATATTAGCCATATAGGTATGTAGCGTCCCAAAGGGTATGATCATTACGCCTCTTCTTTCGGTCTGAAATGGGGTATAGATTTTGCCTAGTTGGTCTGGAATGGGATATAGTTTTCGAGGGAATACGGGAGTGTATGAACGTACTATTAATTTATTGTGTCGTTTTAAATCCAAATGATTTTTTAAAAAAATTATGTTAGAATTAGAAATGGATTTTAAGAACTCTTTTTGTAAGCAATATAACTTAGGTAAATATTTTTAGAGGCCAGGTCTGAAAGCGGGTGTGGAAAATGACATTTTCAGGGTACGAAATACGCCTAGGATTTGGAGAACCGGGGGTCATACCCCCACCATGGAGTACCCTCTCCTAGGACAAGGCAAACTGAGTTTAAAAGGGAAGCAAAAGAGCCTCCCATCCTATGTTTTCAGAGATGTTTAGACACTTATTTGTGTTTTTATAGCTGTCAGCAAAGCAAAACGATGTTATCATTGCCTCGAAGATGCTGGTTCGGGTGATGACATTGCGTTGTGTAACAGCAACCAGATTTCGTTGCCTTGTTTTTATCGACAATTTCCCACTGTTGGAGAAGGTCAATGCTTTACCGCAGCAGGGAGGTTCAAGTACCTGGACGGGTCCGAGGTTATTCACACAGGTATAGCACGAGGATGTATTGACTGCAAAGGTAAGAGAACTTGAAAGCGGATATCTGTGATTATTATATGGCTAAGTCTGTTTTCGCCATGCGATTGGTCAATTTGCGGTCCGTAACTTACTATACGGACCAAAATCTTTAAAGAAAATGCTCATTTCGAAGGTCTAAATCTCTTTACCTCGGAAAAAATGTTTAAATAAAGTTATAAGACCCCTGTCAACCTTGAGGTCTTGGATGTTGACTTTGGCCTCCAACATTTTAAACTGTGTATATTTGTGAACGAAGGCGATGAAGAAACTAACTCGTAATCTTATCGAAGAGGATTCTAGTCAGTGTTTGAAAATTTTATCGTAGTACACAGTTAAGAGGACAAAAATCGACTGGCAGAGATTCGAGATGTTTTGCCTAAGAGAAAATGAGTAATTCGTTCAACAAATATGATAACAAACATACCTGCACCCGATCATCTTGACAAGCTTCTTTGCCATTTGCAGTGTTTTTTCAAAGGCCAACGAAAGAAAGATAGAAGCGAGTTCGAGCCAGACACAATAATGTCCAGTTTTCAAAAGACTCCAGCGTCACATTAACGAGTGAATACTTACAGTGCTCTTAGTTTCCACCGAATAAACTTTGAAATATGTGAACGAGAACGAAGCTGTTGTAGAAACTGAATCGTAACCTTACCGAGGAAGAGAATTCTAGTCAGTGTTTGAAAATTATAACGCAGATCACAATTGAAGACGAGAATGAACTGGCAGAAAGAGTGGTTTTCCCAAAGACAATTAACGAGCGAATCCTTCGACAATGACAACAAACTTACCTTGAAAAGCTTCTTTGCCTTTTGCAGTGTTTTTTCACAAGGACAAACGGAGGAAAGATGGAAACGACTTCTAGACAGACACAGTGTCCGGTTTCCAAAATACTCCAGCGTTACATTAAAGAGCTAAAACTTACAGTGCTCTTAGTTTTGACCGAATAAACTTTTTTAACATGGCGAATTTGTTTTTACTTTCTCGGAAAGCCTTTGTTATGTGCTATTGTTTTCGTGCGCCAATAAAAACTTTCTTTTCTGACACCTGTCAAATGACTGTCAAATCGAGCGTCCTGCACTTGTTTCCGGTCTCCCAAACAGGAAGAAGCCATATAATAAACATCTTATTAGCCTCGTTTTTTCGGTCCGTACTGTAAATTACGGATCCTCGTTTTTTTCCATCGATTTATGGCCCGCGCTCTTAATTTACAGCACGGACCGAAAACTCGGCTAATAAGAGGTATATATCGACCATAGGTAGGAAATATAAAATCTTGCAATCTCGGTGTTCTTAATTGCGGGCGACAAGAGGAGTCCGTAGTCCTAATCTCCAGGTTGTAATTACGCATGCATCTCATGTAGCCAGCATTTGTTTGGACTCCCACTAAGAATGATTGGAATACACAGAACGCAATTGACCACTCGTGTTTCGACCTTCTATCACTTGCAATCTGATCACGCGTATTTTGACGCGGGGATCAAGTTAAGGCGCTTCATATCCCCCCCCCCATTTTCTTTTTGGGGGCCTGTAATACGAGATACAAATGGATTTTAATTTGAAGCTAATTCAAGTATCATTCAACCTACAAAGATCCTTAACGTACAGAGTATAAGCGTAATTTTAACACACATTTTGAGTGGTTATTTTGTCTGATTTTATTTTCTTTCAAAACGGATACAGCAACAATGACGATATGCCTTCAACCTTGTGCTTTCATTCACTCGATATTTGGATACCTCCATCAAATGCGAGCAGTAACGCTACTGTTTTGAAACTATTACTTTACTTCTTGCCTTTTTTTCAGACAAAGCAGCAGCTTGTGCAACATTAAGAGCCGCTTTTGATACACAGCCTCAAAACTGGACCTTGCTGGATTGTAACATTGAGTGCTGTACTGGCCATAACTGTAACAACCAGAACGTCACTGTGGTTCCTCCAACAGCCGCTTCAACTCCAACTCCTTCAGCTCCTACCTCTGAGCCACATGGTAATTCTTGTTGTAATATGTCAAAAACAAGGGCAAGCATGAAGCCCGAGTTTTTTACATGTCTACTTAAATGAAACTATAAGAAATTATGAGTTGTGAGTTGTGTTAATCAATAAAACATCGCATTAAAATGCAAGTGTTTGATCTCAGATGAAAAACGTGTTTCATTTCAGATGAAAACCGGGTGGTGTTTTATCTGGTGTTTCATTAGGTATCAAAATTCATCCACGTGACCCAAATGGTCGTCATTTATTGGGTTTTGACTGCATGAGTAATTAATGAGTTTAAAATTGCTTTTTTAAAATTCGCCTCGGCCAATCAATACAGTGATAGGGAATGAAACAGGTCCTAATTGATATCAGCCCGTTTTATAGCACCAAGCAATCTTTTAAAGGTTGATGACCACATCATTGAGGTTTTCTTACCTTTAAGAGAGCAGTATGGACTCTTTAACTTTCCTGATGATCCTTGTTTCTGTAGCTTTTTGATGTACCAGTTATAGATCGCGGGGAAAAGCAGCAGCATTACATCGCACTACGACTAAATCTTCAACCCATTTCTCTCGTGCATCAGATTCGCCCCAACCAAACCTCGGCTTCTTCCACCTCCGCAGACTCGAAAGGGTTAACATACATTTCGGATTTGGATTCAGAATCCCTTTGAAAACAATAACCACAAACAAGCAAACAACATTCGCTTTTATCCTTTCAGGAAGCCGATATTGGTAACAACAAATCTTCCAGGTTGGGTGCCCCAAACGCTGAAAGCACACTTTCACAATGCCCTGAATTATACGTTGTCGCAACGTTGCGTATTAAAGCATATGGCTGTTTATTTATTTATTTGTTTATTTTCTTTTCCTTTTTGCTCTTGTTATGCTAACAACGTTAGACGGCAACTTGTATCCACACGGTCCAGAACAGCATGATAACGAGATTACTGAAGATACCTTCTACCACATATACAGCTGCAACAGAATCGATGCTGACCAGTTTGGAATCCCATTTTTCAAAAAAAGGCATAGCAAAGTGCATGTAAGTATTTTTCTTAAACAACTTATTCCAAAAATTGCGGCAATATTACTTAGCTTTTCTTTTATATTTACACTAATTATTTATGCATCCGCAGAATTCAAATGAACCTTTTTTTCTTGAAACGAGGTATTGAGAGGCAATTATCATAATGACAAAATTTGCCGCCAATTTGGAATAACGTGCATTGGCACTGTTCGTCCTTTGAACAACCCAGGCCTTGCACCAGTTGTTCAAAAAGTGAATAACGGCATAATCCACCGAATAGATTTTTATTCATTGTGTAGCACAATTGGTTTCACTAAGGGACCAACAACCCTGCCTGGTTTGCACTTGTTCAAGGCCACAGTGATTCTGCGTACCTTATTTATCCTAAGCAGCAATTGTCACACTTGTTTCAACACAGTAATCTGGATAGCTTTCATAGGAAAGTACATTATTGTAATTATGATTATGATTATGATTATGATTATGGTTATGATTACTATCATCATTATTATTATACGTTTTGTTATTAGATATGCGCCAACGGTAAAATCCAATTTGAAGATCAATGGAGTTTTTTCTGGCCCCGAAAATTTGGCAGGGCTTACTGGTGGATGAGAAATAGGGCTATTATTGCCCCATTTTGGGCGCCAGTGGACGATTATGTGGCATTTAAAGTTAATCATTCGAGGGTTTATTACCAAGTTTACTCACACACGAAACCGAAAGGCAATCGAACCAATCATATTCTCAATATGGCTTCCCAACACGTACAAATCTACGATAGAAGTGGAAAGTTTGACAACTTCTCAGCAACGTGGGTTCTTGTTGTGACTTGGAAAGATCTATGTCCGTTCTTCTACTATGGCTCGCGTACATATTCTTACGACAACGAAGAGGTTGCTAGTTTACCTCGGCTGCAGTGTCGTTGGGTAAGTTTTTTTAGGATTCGCCACTGTCGCCTAATTTTTAAGTGCGTACAGGCGTAAATTCACTTGCGTAAATGAAATAGAGGTGATGTATGAAGCTAAATGCGTAAACTTAAAAGTTGAGCGAGGTAGTTACGCTTACGAGTGACACCTCTCTGCATACATTGCTTGTATTTAATTTACGGGCGTAAAATTTACGTGCGTACGCGCGTAAGAAAAACGCGAAAGTGGAAATCCACCCTTAAGGTTTAATAAAATTTAAAGGGAAAACAATTAATAGTTAAACTAGGACCGCTTAATCCGATTAGTTGGTAGACAGTAGCTCTTGACGACCAACGAGTGCACGAGAATTTGCCTAAAATTATGTTGAAATGTTATTTCTATCACTATAATTACTAACACGACATAACTTTTATTGGCAGAACAACACTTTTCAAGCTGTCATCATTACCGATGGGTTTAACTCATTTCTGATGTACAATTATCCAAAAGGAGGCATACAGTGGGTTATTAATGCGCCTGTGTAAGTTTTCAACTATTAGTGATCCAGTGTTATCGCAGACATCCTTGGGGCCGCCCGCTTGTGTCCTTAATGGCAAGAATCCGTATTAGTGGTGTACAAAAAAAAATTCCTTAAAAGATTGGTTTTAGAGGAGTAACGTTTATTTACATTAACAATAATTTCGATGGAGGATACTCAATCGGGGAATAGTAAATCCAACCTTAAAAGAGAGTAAATAATGTGACGTAGCCCTGTAGCTAATCGTACTTTGCGGACCTCTCAGGAAACAGGCTTCAGACCTTAAATTAAAATTCATATTTCCCAATGCCTTGCATTGGGCTCCCTCTAGGTCCCATTAATCCTCTCTTGTCAAAATAAGACCATTATATTATAAGCTGCTCATTCTTAGAAAATGTTTTTTTTCCTCATTATCGTTTTGTTAAATGGCCTTCCAAGTCTTCATCTAGCGGATGAAGCTCATAACAAAAACTTGAAAGTAATGTCAACATACTGCCCCCCTCTAGAACATTTTGTCAATACAAACAGATTGTAATATAAAACGCTTCTCTTTTGTAGGAGCAACTACCGTTACTGGACACAAGCAACTGATATTCCTGTTGCTGGATGGAACGCGGGAGATAATGGAAATAGCAGTGCATTAAATATAAAAGGGTAAGAAAAGAAACTTAACCTTAATAGAGCTTTTTACCGATACGGCGGCCATATCGAATTTACTAGATTTTAAGAGTATCATGGGATGCCCAGGGGGCACTCCCTCAGTATTTACGCGCGCTTTTCGGGCAAAAAGAGAACCTCACTGTATATTTCTAGGGAAAAAGGCCCTCATTTTTACATCCAAACACGGCACAACGATCTTTTTTTCCCTATTACAATCTTTTTCAAGGAAAACTTCAAGAAAAATTGGCCCGAAAAGGACGCGTAAATACTGAGCGAGTACATCGGATTGTGGTCATGCCCCCCTGGGCATCTGATAATACTCCTTAAATTTGATTAAATCAATATGGCCGCCGTATCGGTAAAAAGGTCTATTCAGCTGCACCAGCTACACAAAGGATTAACTTCTCAGGGGTCCTCGTTAAGTTTTGGGGTAGACAGCGAGGATGTAAACGTGAGCGGCTTGCCAGTCGATGGCTGAGGGCAATTTCAGGCTCTCATTTGCTGTCTCACCCTACCATACCTTAAAATATGAAGTAGCCTGGTTTTTTTAGCCCGTTGCCGGTAGTTAATGAGAATCCTGTTGGCTTCTCTCAGTCACTAACGAAATAACGATAAAGGCGGATTTCTCGATTTCTCTTCACGTTCAGTTAAGAGTTTTGTTTTGTGTACATTTGTTCCAAATTGCCAAACTTTTCAACCACTTTTCAGCAGTCCTAAAATGATGGAATAATATGATTATCAATTCTTTAAAATGACGAGAAAATTTATTTTCCCCAGAATGTAATAACCCCCTTTTAACCCTAGTGGGTAGTTATACGGCATGTTCCCGGAGACAAACACAAGACACAAACTCCGTTTTGGGTTTTCTCGTTCATTTGGTTCCATTTTACCCAATCAATGCACCCCGAAAAACAACCACACTGGTGTTCCAGACTGTGAGTAAGTCATTTGACAATGATTCCGATTTGTTCCCCTAACTTTTAAAATGGGAACTTTGACGCTATTATCCTGAGAAAACAGCCTACATTACGCCACCACTAGTTTTTCCATGCGAAATGACGTCTGAGAAGCGAGCACAGACATTCCATAATGATGACGCGTCACTACCTGGATGTTGGTAGTGCCTGCTAATTGGTCGTGCCGTGTGGGAAATTGTCTTCAACCAATCAGTGGCGTCGCACATTTTGGGCTGTTTTATCAGGCTATAATAAAGGCTCTATTCATAAGTAATAGCATAAGTAATCCAGTTAAGATTATTCATTGGTTTGAACGTTTGTTTCAGCTCAGGAACGCTGGTGGCCATGTACAACCTCGACAAGAAAGCTGGAAATACAGGTCTGGCTGGAAGGTATCTTTGGAGGATCGAGAACAGAAATAGGCGAGACGCAAAGGACAAGTGCTTTACATGGATCAGTCTTCAACAGCAAGCAAACATTCTTAACCTGTACAGTTTCCGAATTCAACTAAACCCAGCTATGGCTTGCCCTTGCAGTTTGAGTCAGGCCTTACTGGACAGACGATTTATCCCAGACTGGTGGTTCACTGGACGCGATGGGTGCTTTATAACCAGGCGTCCTGTATTGTTCGATGAAGAGCGGAAGACTGTGATGAGACAGAGGTGTTGCTACTCGATAGAGTTTGGATCTCTGTTGATTGGACCTCCCAATGGAGGTCGTTTATATCTTACCCCCTTTGAGCATCGGTGGAATGCACAGAAGGTTTTCTATGACTCTGACCAGCAGGCGTATGAGTTTTGCTGTTTCGGCTCTGCTTTGTGCTATCTGTTTTACTCCTATCGTCCATCTGATGACTGTGCGGAGTACAGAGTTCCCCGAAGACGTAAGTGTTCGCCAGAATCTCCACTTGAGCGTTAATTACTGCTGTTTCCGATCACGGTTTTGACATGTCTCCAAATGATGTTCTGAATGTTGGCGTTTATAGATTTTAAAAAAATATAGACCTGTTTCAAATTTAAGACTTAAAACAGGTTCCTAAATAGAGAGGGCCTTTCTGGCAAATTCTAGCCTAACAGGGTCTTAAAAACCAGGTCCTTAGTCGCGAGGTTTTTTTTGTGTATTTGCTATATTCTCAGGGTGTTTACAATTATCAGGCCGTTTAAAGGCCAGACGTCTACACTTAAAATTAAATTACCTCATCATTATCCACAATGGACTTGAGCAAAACGTGGCTATAAAATGATCTTAAAATTCAAAACGGTGTGAAAAATCTAACTAGCTTTAATCTATCAACGTAGGTAGATGATCTATTGACTGATTTAGAACAAGCCATGATCAAAACGAGTCTACTTAGGTGTATCCTGGTGAATACAGACACAGCAACACATCCACACCCTAGAACTTCCCCCTCCCCCACCCTCCGCCTTGTGCTTTACGCTAATGTAAGTGCCGTTGCGTTTTTCCATTGCTATGTTGTCAGCAACGTCGTTAGTGGTACGGTTTGATATTGTATAGGTTTGATATTAAGTGGTATGATCGATGCTGCATCGTTTATAATGATCCTCAAATTTTTATATGATATACCAAGTTGTCTTTTGTTTTGTTAACAAAGGTTGGGGTTGGGGAGATCCTCATTTTGTCACACTGGACGGTGCGAATTATACATTTAACGGCCTTGGCGAGTACGTGATGATTGACGCCCAAAATGGAACCTTTCAACTACAGGCTAGGACAAGCCCTGCCCAAGGAAATTCCACGACTGCAACAATTTTTACTGCTCTGGCGGCTAAAGAGAGCAATACTGCCACTGTTGAAGTCAGAGTAAGAGAGGGAGGTAAGAAGTCAGAGAAAGTGGAATTAATCTTTTAGGACTAGGTTTCTTCAGAGAGGGATTGGACAAAGGATATAGTCTCATCACAAATTAATGGATTATGATAAAGAGTTTAGTTACCGTCCATTTTCAGAGCCTTCAAGATTAAGTCCATCCGATCTTAAGCGAAATCAATTCTTTTACAAAGATGGTAACAATTCAGCATCCTAAGTGGCCAGTTTAGATTATGTTTGACTTCTTTTCGTCCAGCATGAAACTTCATGTACCAGAAGGCTACCGTTGTTGCCATTTTTCTATACCCAATTAAAAGCCACGCTCTTTAAGGCGGCACAAACCTATACAGCTAATGCTAGGGAGTACCCAACTTCTGGCTGACATGAAGGGTCGTTTTAATTGCAAGGTGTTGTCGCAGCGATATGTAACAGCAATAAAGTCAAGCGCATTACTCTTACTAACCTTCGCGGCGAGAGCAAGCTCTCCTTGTGGGGACGGTGAGAGGGGGCACTTCACTTATAGGTGCTCCAAGCGTTCAGGTATACAAGAATTGCGCAAAGAGAAGTTAGCAGGAATCACAGTGAGCGGAAAGCGAGGGCGTGGGAGAGTCACGGCTCTTCTCTCTCCCTCGCCCTTTCTTCCGATGTTTCCTCTCCGCTCTCCATTTCACGCCCCTCTTTCGTATGGACACCTTACAGACCAATCTCCATCAAAAGTGCTTGCCCTATAGATTGTCAAAGGAATTGACTAAAAACGGTATGAATCAACTCTAGGTGTACGTTTTAGGAAAGTGTCCACCCAGTGGAGATTTTACGGTTCCCGGTTTTCGGGGAACAATGTCACGCTGTGCATGGTGAGAGCACTTGCCTCCCACCAATGTTTCCTGGGTTCAAATCCCGGCGTCGACGCCAGATATTTAGGTTAAGTTTGTTGTTGGTTCTCTCCATTGCTCTGAGAGGTTTTACTCCGGGTACTTAGGGTTTTCCCCTCTCTTAAAAAACCAGCATTTCCAAACTCCATTTCCACCATGCAGGAATGGTACAATACGAAGGACCACCATGTAGATGCGCTTCCTCCGAATCATTATCTTAAGTATTTATTTCTTTGATTATACAGAAAGATACAATTTTCCTTTCTTGGACTCGTTTTCAGGTGGAATCGAAGTTTTGATTGACAGGAAGACGTACGGTGGCTACAACAACCTGACAAATCAAAGTGTAGAGCTGATTGACGAAAATCTTTCAATCTCAAAACCAGAGGAAAGCTGCCTCGAGGTATATTTCCCATCAACAACATCCGCGCAATTTTGCGCGAACAAGGAAATGCTTTCCTTTGTTGTAGCCCCAGCGGAAATTTACAAAAACGCAACGAAGGGGTTGCTGGGAACTTGGAATGATGACCCAAGTGATGAATTCACACTGCCTAATGGAACGGTGTTAGCATCATCTTCATCTCTGAGAGATATTCACTTTGGTTTTGGTGTTACATGTAAGTGTGAGTTGCAATGCAGTCTTACTTGATTATGAAAGCGACAGATTTTACACAATGAAAAGAGAAGACGGATAGTCGCACCTGCCACTCGCGTTTAGAATCTTCACAGACAGTAACCCTTGGCTGCTAAGAGTGGTGGCCTAAGTCAAAATACGACAAATTTCCAAATTTGATTTTGTAAAACGCCAAAAAAGAAATAGTAATATGTGAAAGTAATGCCAATGAAGTTTCATTTGAATTGTCACACCACAGGATTTCGTCGACAGACTCAAAAGTTACGACCACATTAAAAGACTCCAGCCTTTAGTACTCCGGCAATGAAAGGGTTAGCATCGCGACTTCAGTTAGTCAATAACATCAAATCAGAGTTCAACTGACGATCAATTAACGATAAAAAACTCGCTTTCCTTCTGAAAAATACTACCACACAGGATGTCAAAACTTCAGTTACTCAATCAACAACAGTCCTTTTCGACTTCGAGTCTGCACTTACCTGGACGATTATATTCAACTTACTCATGGTTCCTGAGTTCAAACCATGTACAATACAGTTATATTGCTAAACACTGTAGATTACGTAGATTACGTCCGTACTTATGTAATTATGCTATTGCACTACAGTACCACTGAATTGGAGGCCCATTAAGACGCCTAACTATCCAAACTAAGTCAAGCAGCCTTAAACTTTTACAACAATAGCTTTTTTTCTTGTAAGTGGAGCAGTTATATAAGGTATCCCAAATAGACCTCGTGTAGTTCTGATTGCTTTAGTGTCAAATGTGGCAGGAACTAACACAGGACCATCGCGTAAGCAGAGTTCTGGTTGCTAACGAACGTGTCGCAATATTTTAGGGCAACTCACACAAGTCCAATCTCTGTTCACTTATGGTGAAAATGAAAGCGTGGACACTTTTGCAAGACCTGACTTTCTGCCCATGTTTTCCGACAATATCACTTGGTCTGACAACAGTGTAAGATTAGCTGCTGAAGCGCAGTGTGGGAACGATTACGAGTGTTTATTTGACGTAGCCTCCACAAATGACCTGTCCATTGGTATCGCAACCAAAGACATAAGTGCTCAGTTGGTCAACGAATCAAACATTCTTGGTAAGTTGTGTACATGGCTAATATTTCAAGAAAGGGGATAAACATATACAGTGAAACCTCCATTAAGCCAACCCCCAACTAAGTGGACACCCTCTATTAAGCGGACACTAAGCCAGGTCCCGAAGGTGTCTGCTTAATAAAGGCAGTTGTTAACACCAGCGTGTGCCTCACCCTTTGGCGGGGATTATCGGTATTTGAAAAATATGGTTAAAAATTAGTGGCCTCGTCCTTACAAACGAAAACCAGCTTAAGCCAGCTTATTTATCTGCTGCCTTAATATATTATTTTGAATTCGATGTTGATAATTTTTTATATTTTACGTGACACGTATTATAATCATTTCCCTCCTTAATTCCAAGACACACCACCTACACCGCCCTGACTGGGACAGCGGAACATTTCACCAAATTTGGGAGGGGAGAGCGGAATTAATGAAGAAAGTGACTTGCAATGGGGAGGCTCAGTAATTCTTTATGTCTTGAGGAAAAAGGGGGACTAGTCCCCCAGCAACCCCTTAGGCTTCGCCAATCCTGCCTGGAGGACTGGGTCATGTAGCAGCTGCTCGGAAGAGAAGTCACCAATGGTGCGTTTCCCCAGCCCCAAACAATACTGAAACAATTGGAAGAATGACATGTCATTGTTTCCTGTGACCAATTAGGAGAGACCTTAAGAGCAGCTCCCACACTGCTTGAAGGATTAACCCATGGCCAGGAGGCTCACCGGCTTTCCATAGAAAAGGCTTTGTTGGATTAATTTAGGTTTCTAGGAAACTCACCACCTACCCCCTCCTTAAGCCAACATTTCGCCCTAAGTGAAAAGTAAGTGTTAATGCTAGCTTAGGGGAGGGGTAGGTGGGTAGTTTCCCAGAAACCTAAATTGAACTGCTACGTTCACACTATACCGGGTAGCTTTTGCACCAGCACGTAGGGCTCCTGTTCACACATAAGAACGGTGATTTTGGCGCGATTTCTGCAACGGAGCGAAGTTGCGCCCCGCCTATCTCTTAAGTGGAGTGTCACGTATCACTCTGGTATTGTGTGAACATAGCCTAAGATACGTTAACGGTTTAGTTTGAATGACTTCATTTTTTTAAATTTTTTTTAAAGAGAACTTTCCGCCCAAGTTAATAAATCTACCAAGTGCATTGAATGTTACACTTCACGAAACACTTCAGTTGGAGATTACTGCTGAAGATGACGGCATGATAACCTTTGTGGTACTAAATAAACATCATGGGGCCACAAAAAACCAAACTGGAAATGTTCTTCAATTTATGTGGCCCGTTAATTCAACAAAAAGGGTAGGCGGCCTTGCTAAGTGATTTATGATTATTTAAATTAACGCATGGAAAAAGGGTTATAGACAGTAGACGTCGGCATTGGGCAATGCAGCCAACGGCAAGCACACCAAATAGCCCCAAATGATATGGAAAACGCAAGAAAAGGGATCGGCACCTCGAGTTTAGCTGCACCTGTCACGCTGAGGTCATGCAGAGGAGAAACCATTTTGGGACCTATTTGTGTTCCAGTGCTTCCAGCCGTGAGGTAGAGGGGGGAGGAGGGCTCAAACAAAGTTGCCACAGGTAACGGTAACACAGTTAAAACCTTGCGACAAGACGAGGAATGCGCGCTGCGCATGCCGAGAGTAGAAATTCGCAGACTTGCTCAATTACCCAGTTAACTATGATGTGCGCGGTAACTCTCTTTTCAAGTTCATCCATCTTGACATTTTAAGTGTTTGCACGAGATTATAAACCTTATCTATATCAATCGTATATATACATCAATCGTTTTAAGAAGTGTTTACACGAGATTATAAACCTTATCTATATCAATCTCTTTATTCTTATATTGTTACGTTCTTTTAGGGAAGCTAGATCAGAACACCGGTGTTTGGGGTAGAAGTCCCATATTTACCACTTTTTAATTACACTGTAGCTTCAGAATTTCTCTAATTCCTGAGCTCCGAGGCATTTTTAAAAATTATAAACGAACGCGCGTATCATGTGGTCATTATTTTTAAGGAGGGCAAGGAGTGCGTTCTCTATTTAATGGGCCTTTTCATTGTTTTAGAACCAGCATATCATTATTGTGTTCAATGAAATAGATTAGTTGGTAATGTTTCATAATGACCCTTTGTTCCCCTTAGTGACCTGCTCTTTCATTTATTGACATTATCAGGAACAGTGGAGGATCTAGGGGAGGGGTCCCCGCCTTATTTTTAGACCAAACTTCTGGATTCGCCAGTGTAACTGAAGGTGTTGTTTTCAGGTTAATATATCGTTTGTAGCGACTGATGACAAAGGAGCAAGTACCATCTGGACCCCTACAATAAACATGTGCGCCTGCCAACATGGTGGTCAGTGTGTCCCACCAGAGGAAGGTGACGTACTCAACACTGACAGCAAATTTGTGTATTCAGGGTGTGCATGTCAGGACGGTTACTCAGGAAGGTTCTGCGATAGTAACCTTGATGCCTGCGAGGTGAGTGGTCAGCCGTGTTACGCAGGTGTTGAATGCGTTGACCTGCCGCCGCCAGCTAATGCTACTGGATACACATGTGGACCCTGTCCAACCGGTTTTACCGGAAACGGTGCTCAGTGTGCGGGTAGGTGGAATTGAGGTACATTTGTGTATTACTAAGTTCAACTTACACAGAAAACCATCATCGTCATCATCATCATCATCGTCGTCGTCGACATCATCATCACCATTTAAGAAGAAGTTGTCCTTCGGGATGGTATTTTTCTTACCTAAATCAGTCAAGAGGAGGATATGCCTAAATTTATCACGGCTTCAACAAACTGAAAACGCATGTCCTTTAACCATCCTTCGAGCAAACGTTCAGCTCAGAAGACGGGTTAATTACGGGAGGGCTAGAGACAGGGCTCTCTTCTCGGGGCCCCCCGCCAGTCTGGTCGAGAATTTGCTGTTCAACCTCGTCCCCAGGGCTTTTCGCTTAAAAAATCATTGCAAATTAATAACGTTCAATGTTTTTCATGTTAAATTATCTAGATATAGATGAATGTGATAGCGGTCAATCAAACAACTGCGAGCAAATCTGCACCAATCTACCGGGGTCGTTCTTCTGTGATTGTCGTGAAGGCTTTAAGCTTAATGCTGATACACGCAGTTGTGACGGTAAGATGTAATTTCTTGGTGTTATCACAGCTCATAGGAAATGCTAACTGATACACAGGGAACCGGACATCCACCCATTTCCACTCTTAACATCAAGTACCCATAGAAACATCATCACCGCGCGGTGATTATAACATTAAAGGCTAGCATTTTCAAAATGACAGCCAGATTTCTTGATGTTTCGGAGTCGGAAATTGATCAATTTAAAAGAAAATGCTGTTCCTCAAAAAACAAAAGACGCTACAAAATTTGGAACGACAGTTCAAAGCCCCAAAATCATTCAAAAATGTGTCTCTTTTTCATTTTATTTTCTCGAATAATCATCAATGTAATTATACTAAAACAATTCGTCGCCTGAGGCGACGTAAATATCGGCGAATAGTCACCGAGACGATTCGCCGATTGTTAAATACTATATGGCTACAATTAGTAAGCCAATGATCCTCTTTTGAAAAAATAAATGAAGTCTAAAACATGAACTGGCATTCACTACGAATTTCCATTTTAATTCAATACCACAGAGCATGTTATGGGTCACATTGTTCACAACTTTCCGTCAATAGGACGCTAAGTTCTTTAACCTCAGTGAACAACGTAACCTGCGATCAGACGTTCCTCGCCCGTTCGGCGAGTTCTCTTTTTGACTATAATATAATGAATCGTTTATTTTGGCCAACCTTGTTCGGTGAAGGTGGCCTTATATTTCTGGGAAACTGCCCACCTACATGTACCCCTCCCTTAAACCGACATTTTGCCCTAAGTAAGTGTTAATGTCGGCTTAGGGGATGGGGTAGGTGGGCAGTTTCCCAGAAACTTATTATGATCCGATATTATTTGGTGTCATTCTTTTTTGCGTTGATATCAACCTCGACTTTGCCTCGGTTCATAAAAAAAGGGAAAAAGAACTTGGCCAATATCAGGCAGCCTTTTTGACCCCAAGCTTGGTCACGTTTTCCCTGCAGATATCAATGAATGTCAACCAACGAGTGACTGCATGCAGCAATGTACCAACACTCAGGGCAGCTACACCTGTTCATGCAACGAGTATTTCACACAAGATCCTAACAACTGGAAAAATTGCACGGGTAACTTCATTTTTTTATTCAATTACTGAAGAAAACAAAGTCGTTTTAATATTTGACGATTTTCAAAACTGATGTTCAGACGGAAAAACTTCAATACCAGGTTCCATGAAAATATTAACATTCAGGCAAAATGGTTTAAAATCCCTAAACATATCCAGATGATTTTTTTATACTTCGTATATCGTTCACCCACCCTTTCAAACTGTGTAGTTTTATGTTTACGCACAAGTTTCCACCCAGGTTGTTTGTGTAATTGGTAAGCACCCATGCATTTATCAGCTGACTAATGTGTATTGTTCTCGTAGCTACAAACCCTTGTTCTGCTGATCATGGATGCTCACAGGTTTGCTTCAAAGGAGCGGGTAACCAGCCAGCATGTGCTTGTTTCACAGGCTACGAACTGCAGTCTGATGGAAAGACATGCAAAGGTGAATTTTTGCTCTTTTTTTTGTTTGTTTTTTGTTTTTGTTTTTTTGTTTTTCTCTTAACTCCCTGCACGTAATTGGCCCATAACTCCAAATGAAGTGTCTGAAGTCAAAACTTAAAGTCTGTTTTCAAAAAGACAACAATTTCTCTTCTCTTTCCTGAGTGTGAGGATGGTGTTTGAAACCAAACGTGTCTTAAATCTAACCACAATGATGCATTCCACTTTGACAAGGGGTCCGTCACTGAGCTTGTATTGAAAAACTCTAAATTTAATTTTGTAAGATCGAAAATGTTTCACTGAAATACTGAAATGTTATAGGACTATAGGGACAGCTCGGCCGGTCAGTCCTTTTTACAGAGTATAAAGAAAAGAGGACCTACAATAGTACCTTGAGGAATTCGAAATCCGAAATGTTAGAACTGGTTTACTTGACAAACTAAAGAGTTAGTATACGGTGACTGCCTTTATTCATAAATTCCTTCCGCGACTACGTAAAACGTATGTATACATGTATGTCTAACACGAGGTAGTGTTCCATGACAAGACAACAAGCTAAAAAACACTGAGACTGAGAGAGTTGAAAGTTATGACACGCAGCGAAGTATTCAGTATTGACCACTACAGAAAATACCATAACGCTCTTTTTTTGTCAACCCAAAATTTTGCTTAAGCATTGTCTTCAGTTTCTCTTGGGAGTTAAAATGGCCCCAAGAGAAACTGAAAACAAGGCTTATGTAAAATTTTTGGGTGACAAAGAAAGAGCATTATGGTATGTTATTGTATCTTCTATAGTGATTGATATTTTTCATCTTGGGCCTGCATTTCCGTTCGCCAGCTGAGCTAAACAAAACTCCCTCGCTTGATGATCACAAGATACAACAAAGTGTTATTCATGATTATTATTGTTTAATGTACTCATCCCGATAATATTTATAACCATTCTTTTACACCTTCATCTTTTCAGATATCAATGAATGTGATCCGGCAATGCCTCTCCATCGCTGCTTACAGCTTTGTGAAAATACCCCTGGGAGTTTTAACTGCTCTTGCATTACGGGATTCCAGTTGACCAAAGATGGATACGGATGTGAAGGTTTATAAACTACAACTACCAATCATAGAATCTGATTCAGCTTAACTATAAATTTCTTCCGCACACCCGTACCGCTGATCACAAAATTGACAAGCTTATATGTGACGTCATGAGACATAAATTCAGGAAAAACAGAAATTTATGAATGCCTATCCCTTTCTAAGAGTCGCCAGTGTTGCTGAATCTCACTGCGACGCACCTCAATGGTATGTTTTACCTTTAAAAAAAAATAGAACGAAACCATATGGACGAAGGGAAAATCTTCCAAATTTCGTATAAATTTTTCTTCTTTTACTTGCTATGGTTCCTAATTAAGGCCCGTAAAATTTTTGCTTGAAAACCCGAAACAAATACATTTTTGTGAGTGGCTAGAAAGAAACGTATACAGTAAAAATCCACGTCTAAGAACCTAAAAGTTAAGAACCTGTTAGCCTAAAATTTTCATTTCAAACCCCCTTTTCATAAGAACCTATTTAGCCTAAAATTTCCAATAGGTGCTTAGTTTACAAAAATGAAGGCAGAGAAGAAAATACAGCCAGAAAAAAAATTAAGTCTCGGTTTCAGTCAGTAAGATTCAAAATGTAACACAGCTTTTTAAGGATACTGCAGCGTGAAAGACATGCATGCTAGTACTTTGGAAAGATAAAATTCCTGCATGGTTGTCATCTAAACTGTATTCTATATAATTATTTAATACAGCAACATATTCCATATCACATGTGCATGCACTGTAGTGGTTATCTGTGCTGATCGCTGGTGCCCCTATCAAATTAAGAACCTATTTAAGAACCTAAGTAGCCTAAAATCCTACTGAATACCATTTCTATAAGAACCTATTTAGGCTAACTTGGAAAAATCTAGGTTGTTAAACGTGGGTTTTTACTGTGTTTGTATACCATCAAAGGTTGTGATATTTTATTGTAAATCGCTCAATTCGCTTTGTTATTTTATAGACGTTAACGAGTGCTTGTTTGAGGAGTTATACACCTGTGTTGACGAGTTTCAAAGGTGCGTTAACACTCTGGGCTCATACAAGTGTGAATGTGACCAAGGACTGTATTTCATTGACGGAGAATGCAGAGGTAAGAAAAATTTCACTCCACTTCGCATTTATTTTCGTTTTTCATTTTATTTCTGGCTTGAGTGGCCGGGCAGGTGACCACGTCGGACGCCAATCTCTCGATGGCTTCCAATGTAACCTCTTACAGTGTTTATAAAGGTAGTTTCAAAAAAGGGAAGGGTTTTTTTTTGACTTTACAACGCCCACTTTTGTGATTGGCTAAAAGACTTCATGCCACTTGCGTTCTCAACCAATCACAAAAGCATCACCAATCATGACATTCTCAGTCACGTGCCACTCGAATGCACCTTCTTGCCTTTAGCACTCATTACATACCCAACACTATTCAATGGTTAATATGATTCTCTGCGCGTAATGTTTATCGGCGATAGGTCTGGAATCTACAAAGAACTCTAAGAAATTTGCTTGTGGTAATAAAATTCAAAGGACACTTTACTGTTTTGTTGTTTTAGGTTTAAATAGAAACGAAACCGCTCCAACTCCTACTATTCCTCCGGCACGTGTTCCGTCAGCAGAGGAAGAGAGAGAAGCTGTAAAATTCTCAATTCCACTTACTACAGACCAAGTAAGTGAGTGAAAAATTAAGGTTCTCCAGCCCTCCAACAAACCGCCTTATCCCTGATCACGTGTAAATTTGTAAACGTGACGTGTTTAAGTAGCCAGGGAAAACAGTTGACATTTCTCGACGCCACCAATGGTTTCCCCGCGAAATGACGTCTGAGGAACTGGAGCAGAAATTCCATACTGATGACGTGTAACTGCCCTGGTCTGGGTAGTGTTTCTGATTGGTTTAAAATTTATTTCTGTTTGAAAACGATGTCATAATTATACAGCAGACGTCGGCCAGTTACTGTGTAATACTCTAGCAAATGTGCAAGACACAAATGAGCCAGTTACGATTGGTTTTTCTCCTTGTTTAACTCTTAAGCCCAGAAACTCATAAGGGGTTGAACTCTTATGAGTTTCTGTGAAGCCTCGACAGCTCTACACATTTCCTTAAAAACGTTAGTCGAGATAACTTTTTTTGATAATAAAAAGCATTTCTCTCAGGTGATCATTTCATTCGTTTATCTATTCTCATAGCCTTTTCTCTTGATAGTGTATAAGCATCCTTTGAAATAAATTGATGTTGGTCAGTCAAGTTTGGGAGTTCAAAGGTGAATAATTGATCATAAGACGGACAACGTAGCAACACAAACTACTCCTGAAAGCCGCTCTTTATCTACTCGATAATAGTGGAACCGAGCAAATCAGTTATTGTTTGTCAAGCAATCACGATTTTTAGAGATGAGAAACAGTTTAGTTTTGGAGAAGAATATATATCTAAGAAAAAGAGGACACTACACCATTTCCATTTATGTTTTACTTGGTTAATTACCTAAAGCTTACAACTGACGGCTTCATTTTTTTACTTTTGTTAATTATTCGACAGTATGAATGGGATTTCCAAACCGACAAGTCTTTCAAGGAAAAAATTGCTTCTGTTACGACCAGCTACTGTACTAGGAACAGAAGAAAATGTGCGCTGAAGGAGGCAAAACGAAAAAGGTAGTTATCAAATGCGACGCAGTAAATGAGTTTTTCTAACGTATTTACACAAACTCCTCCTCTATAAAAAGTCAGCAAAGATTTCCCTGAAGTAGAATAGTGTAGCATATTCTTGCAAATGCTTTCATTTTTAATTTAATAGTTCACGTTGACTTCCCTAAATGGATCATGGTCTCGAAGATATATGAACCTTTGGATTGGACTATAACTACGAGGTTAATAATTGAACTATGAGTTTTTAACCTAAGTTCCTGTCTCTTTTTTAAGATAATATCTTGTTACACTGATCTTACATCTTCAGTAATATTCTTTCTTTTTGTTGGGAAACAAACAGGAAAGTGTTCTTAGAAAAAACTGGCGGGAAATTTCGAAAGTTGATATGTGTTTTCGACCTCCTACCTATAGTCAGGGGCAGGAGCTCCTATGAGCTCTTGTGAAGGTCGCTATTGGGGACTATTTATATTGAACAATTACCTACTCTTTTGCATGACCAGACGCGCCCTCCCTTTCGACTTCTATACCGCTGACCAAGTCAACCTTTTGCCTGGTTACCCAAGCAACGCGTCTGGCTCCCTCCAGGTGGCTTTTTACGTCTTACAGCCTCTTGGTCTTTTCATCGGTAATACCTCCGTGTTACCTCGAGACACGCTCGTCGACATTGTTAAAACACACGAATCCGAGATCGAGGCAACCATCGGCGCCAACATTTCACGCGTGGAAACTTTGTTTCAACCTCCTTCGACACCAACAACAAAACAAACGACAACAATGATACCGACGGAAGTAAAAGAGAGCGATGAAGCGGGCAAGTGGATTGCAATTGGTGTCGGAATTGGAGTGTTTGTTACCATTTTGATTTTGCTGCTAATTTTATGGTAAGTTGCTTAACAATCGACTAGCGATTGCCCGAGCACCCTATTCATTTAGGGCGCTTACTAGCTGACCAGGCCAGTCCAGTCATAAGGAGAATTTCATAGATTAATGACGACTATTCAGCCATTTAAGTTTATACCCAATTGATAATCACGGCAGTAATGGGTTTAGCAGGAGCTCGAGAACGTTTAAGGTGTTTCGATGCAGTTTTTCGGAGGCCATACCGATATTTTTCAATCGCTTTAAAAGTGGTTTTACCCTTGTCTAATCGCTGTAAAAATTTCGTCAGTGATTGACTATAGGCTGAAATTTGTCAAAATGTAGGTTTTAGTAAAATCGATATTACTATGACAACAATAAATAAAACATTTTGAAACTGATAAAAGTCGGATTTTGCGCGATCTAGACCAGCTACTGAAAATCGAACACTAGGAACTTATAGTGTGGTGTTTAGCAAATAACCATAGTAAGGAGTAATAAATTCTACATGTTTGAATTCGACTAAAACGAAAATATACTTCAAACCTTAAATTTTCAATAGCCGTGATAGTTTATTCAATAAAAACGTTATAAATGACAATTTCGATGCCAGGAAATTTTGGTGTATTTTCGTTCGTGCGATGTTGAAAACCAACCTGTTTTCTCACCACCTGTCTGTAAGTGTAACTTCATTCAAAATTTGGACTTTTAACGGTTTTTTGTATATCTGGAACGACTCGAACGAATTTTTTTTAAATCTCTTCACATAATCTTCATAATGTATATAATAATGTCTGAAACTTTTATTAAGATTGATTCACTGCAACACCTTGAAATTTCAAGACGAACCTATCCTACGAACCTGTCAAAAATCTGCGTTACAACATTCACTGTTTTGACGTTATGCTAATTTTTACAAAATAATGCGCGCTATATATATCTCCATCACTAGTACATTTATAGTTTGAATTTGTCGCATCTTTTGAATGTAAAACATTGACAATACTCACACTGAAATCTACAAGTCATGGAGATTTTCGACAGGTTCATAGGATAGGTTTGTCTTGAAATTTTGAGTCCAAATTTTGAATGAAATTACACTTATACGGGTGGTGAGAAAACGGGCTGGTTTCCAAGATCGCTAGAAAGAAAATACACGAAAACTTCCTGGCATCAAAATATGATATTAAGCAGCAAATTGACACTACTTAAAAGAAGTGTCAGAATAATTTGAGTCATTTAAAACGTTTTTTTTAAATACTCTATCATTGCTATTGAAAATTTAAGGTCTGAAATAAATTTTCGCTTTATTCGAATTCAAACATACAGAATTTTTTACTTCTCATGGAGATTGTTTGCTAAACACCAAACTTTAGGTTCCTAGTGTTGGATTTTCAGTAGCTGATCGGCTTTTATCAATTTGAAAGTTTTTTGTTTATTGTTGTCATAGTAATATCGATCTTACTTAAAACTACATTTTCACAAATTTCAATCCATAGCCAATTTTTTGGTGAAAATTTTATAGCGATCGGACAAGGAAAAAACTACTTTTAAGACGATTGAAAAATATCGGTATGGCCTCTGAAAAACTGTATCGAAACACCTTAAATCAATTCAGTTCAATTTTGTCTGAGGCCAGTTGGCTTGATTAGCTGAATTGGATAGGTTACCATCATCATATCATCATCATCATCATCATTATCATCATCATCAACAACAACCATTAACGATGGCTACTTCATCATTATCATATCATCATGATTCATCTCTGTAACATCATTATTAAGTCTTTTCCTTTCTGTTTATTTTTAGGTTAAGGAAAAGGACTGAGAAGGAGGTAACTTTACCTAACGAAACGTTGGGCATGGAAACTGTCGGCCATAAAGCAAACATGGGATTTGACAACGCTATTTACACTCCAACATTCACAGCATAGATTAGAACCCCCGGAACTGACGGCTCGCAATTTTTATTAAGCATCAGTGGTGTCTTTGCCTTAATTTTGATTGGCTATACAAACAAGCAATTGCAACTAACTAATGCTGTTACTGTTTTCCTCAGCTCGTATTTCTATAAATTAATGTAGAAGTAACGCTAACTAGAGACAATAGTTTTTCTCATGCAAAAGTGAAGTCATTTTGCAGACGCTCTCGAGGTTCACACGTGCAAGAAACACGTTTTGTTTTCCACAATTTCCAAGGATGTTTTTACAGATTTTTTTTCAAAACGGGTCTAAGGTTCAGTCAAGAGTTAGGTTTTAAGTTTTAAAACATATTTTAGAGTGGAAACGTTTGGAAGTACTGCTCAGCAACTTTCAGGTTGTAAGCTTACCACTAGTAAGAGTTTCTTACATGTCGACGTACAGCCGTTTCTCCTCGCTCCTCGCCGCTAGGGACGTTTCGTGAGGAGGAACGTCTACGACTCAGCGACAGAAATTCGTCAACGCTGGGAGATTTAAAAAAAAATTAGCCGGGGAATTCAAGGCCAGTCAGAGCTGAGGTATTTAAATGAATGTTAAACCGTAAAAAAAACTGATACCATACCCAAATCTCTTTTTGCAACCATAAACACTCGCGCATGCGTGCAAGGGGTGTTTGAAACCGTCGACAGCACACGCAGTAGTCAGCAGATTATCCGTCAAGAATACTTACCCAAGAATGTTTTATAATTTATAAGATCCAAGTAAATCGTGCATTTGTGCATGAGCTATGCCTTTCAGAAGGTTTGCCTCCGTAATACATGCACAGGTTGCCTGGTCATTCTGTTGTGGTGTTGTAAGTGAGTAAAATAAATAAAAGCTAAACTTTTGGGCTGTTCTTATTTATTGTCACATTTATAGTTTCTAACTACAATACACATAAATGACCGAGTTAAGCGCCACGTAGCAGGCCGCGAACGCTGACGAACTTGCAGCGGTTGAGTTAATTCCCGTCACACTTAAGGTGAAAACATGCAGCAGTCCCGTTACTTGTTTGGGTACGTTAACTTACATTTCATTTTATGTTTTTGTTATAATTTTTCCTATTATTATTCCATTATTATTAAGAGAATCCCTTGTCGGTGCACAGGCGGCCCAAGCTCGTTGCATAAATTACCGCGAGGTTCGCAGATACTGTTTTGCATATTACGAACGATTTAAAGACTTTGTATGAGAAATTCAATATAGCTGTTAAACCGTGAATATAGACATAATACAGAAATAAATTGTACTTACGTAAACTTGGGTCTGTTGTTGCTTTTTCTGAGTAACCTGGGTTCACTTCATGGCCATTTTATACGTTTGGCCGCTCGTTGTTTGTTCGGTGTTGTTTTCCTACGCAAAGCGAAGCAAGGCAAGTGACTCTGTGCAGTCTCAACTCACAAATCTCTCCCGCATCAAAGAACCGCGCACCGATTCACCATGAAAGCGCCAAATCCTTAAGACCAGGTCAGTCTCTCATCTCTTCCCCATTTTATATACGATCATCCAATTGGATAATTCCAAACACCGCTAACGCGCAATCAGTAGACTATCTGAGGGTAGGAGGATCCATGTTTTGTCATGCAATATTGATTACCCGGTTACCCTGAGTCCCTGTTCGAGTTCACCACACAACATGTAGTCATCGAGGTTCCTTCGCGCACGTCAGATTGCTCAGAACCAAAAACTATCAAGAACATTTCCCTCAAAAACACATCGCAATATGACGAGGGGAGGCTAAGAGACTTGCCTTAAGGATTTGGCGCTTTCATGGTGAATCGGTGCGCGGTTCTTTGATGCGGGAGAGATTTGTAAGTTGAGACTGTACAGAGCCACTTGGCATGCTTCGCTGGAAAACAACGCCGTACAAACAAAGAGCGGCACAGCCGTATAAAATGGTCGCGAATTGAGCCCACGTTACACAGAAAAAACAACAACAGACCCACATTTTCGTAAGTACAATTTATTTCTATAGTTAATATGTCTATATTTCTACTGTTTAACAACTATATTTAATTTCTCATACAAAGTCTTTAAATCGTTCGTAATATGCAAAACAGTATCGAAACTCGTGGTAATTTATGCACCGAGCTCGGGTCGTCTGTGCATCGACAAAGGATTCTCTTCATATTCATCTCAAATGAATATGAGCATCATTGTATTGCGACTGCACAGTGCACAGGGCGGTACAGATTCCTGCAGAAATGCGCGAATGCATGCAGTACCACGTTTCTCAACCGAGAACACATAAAAGGTTGAAAATAAACTTTCAGTGTTTGTTACGAACGGCAATGTACTTGTCAGTCAGATTACTTTCAAACAATGTAAAAGATATGACTGTTTTAAAGACATTCCAATAGTATTATTGAGATGCATATCATTGGCATGGTAATTGCGCAAATGAAACGACGGATGATTAAAATGAACATTTCTTCGCGAATATGTTCTTCCAAAGATAATGTTGAATTCCCGTGAAATAAAATGAATTTCTATTTTATGTTAATGAAGGGCAAAAGGTGTATTACAGACAGCAAATAGCAGACTAAGCTGGGCTAGATACAACCTCCCTACAATATTTAGCCTGTTCCAGGCGTTCAGATAGTGGGGAGCGGTGCGAAGTAAAAAGGAGCGCGAAAAAATAAAAGCGAGGGAGGAGGAGAGGTGAGAGAGGGAGAGGGAGGTGAGTTCCCGCACCTCTGTCCCCAGTCCCCCTCTACTTTTCATCGCTTTCTTTACTTCGCACCGCTCTCCACTGTTTGAACGCTTGGAACAGGCTATACAATATTGTGTTTCTTTGAATATTGTTACTTTCTTCTCCACATAGATTTGTCTGCGTGGTACATGGTAGCTCATAATTTAGGCTAATCACGAATCCAATTTTTTTCAATTTTTTATCTTTTGATCGTGGCCTATAATCGTACGCTTGCCTATTAAAACTTTCTGCATATACATTTGATTCGCCGCGCGTTTATCTGTATTTTTCATAGTTAACAGATTGGAATGTTTATGAAACCCGTCAGACTCCTTTGTTGTATGTTTTTGTGGACTTAAAGGTGTACAAAGTGAC